TTTTTAAATAATGTTTGGAGCTCATGATTATTCTTACCCATTCATATGTGCTATGTAAATATGACTAAATATAGCCAAAATTTGACACAACAATATTCCACATTAAGTTTCCACTGGTAAACTGATAAAACATCGTTGCATTTTAGAAGTTCTCAAAAGACTAAAAAAAGACTTTTGAGCAGAGATTGAAACCAAACCACATTGAAATATTATCCAACCACGCAAATGAATTATGGAGCCATTTTTAAAGAAACAAATAAAGAAAAACAATTTTAAAAAACGACGAAGTAGAGCTTTGTTTTGGAATATTTTTCTGATTTATTTTCTTCATAAATATTGGAATAGGAAATGGGGTTACAGTGAAATGATTTTGAGGTAGAAAATTATTTATTTTTGTGTGCGTTGTGAATCATTGATGAATATTATGATTGTCCGAAAATGAATGTGAGGCTTCTACCGAGAATTAAATGAAAATGAAGTTATATGTTGGTGTTAGATTTCAAAATGATTTCAATAAAATCTCATGAGAAGCCCCACATTCATATCTCGATCGATGTTTCCATATGAAAAGTCACTCTTAAATTCGATAGAATTGAAGCGCCAGAATAGTTCCTCTTGGAACTTTGTCGACCGGATCGATGGGGTCCTGATGAAACTGTACATTGATGATCGGGTCCATATCAATTTCTGACTTTAGTAAGCTTCCTGTGCAGCAGTTTGGCGGTGGCGTTTGTTTCAATTGTACTTCATACATAAATCCAGGTTTCACTACAATTAGTTTCTGCAAATTAATGCATGTACTCTCCCAAGAATTAAGAAGAGTGTTTCCATCATACAGAACGCATTTTTCATTTGATGGAACCGATTCATTAATTTGAACGATTTTTATTTCAGTTGGCAGTTCCTTCATAAGAAAGTATACATTCGACTTATATTCGCTTATTCGGCAGCATCGAATTTTCTTCAATATCATCGGTTTATTGACAGAAAATGTGGTCTTTTCAATATTTTTGATATAATATGGATTAGTTGAAAATCCTAATGACAATAAACGATTGCATTCAATCTTTTCCTCTTCATTCCACTGACGATTTTCAAACGGAGTTCTTTTGTTGTTGCTGAAAATATTTGACTCGAAATCTGGCATCACAGTCGACTGAGAAATATCTTTGTATTCATCAGCTGAGAATAAACTACCATACGATGGAATAAGGGTTCCAAACTGCTGCAATGTCATCGATTTGAAGCGAATTTGGTAAAGCAAATTGCCAAGTTGTCGATTAACATCTTGCCGTGTCAAATTGTCCACATTTGCTGCTGTTTTGGTCCATTCCATGCACGCCTCAAACAATTCGGCTTCGGTACATGACAAAGTGTCTATGTTCAAAATGTGACTCAGCACCTTTCGATCACACACCATGAAATTTCCCGATGCCAACACTTTCTTTGTATCGACAGCGATTACACTTTCGCAATATTTCTTCAATTTTGGTTGATTGAAAAAAATGCCGAGCTCATAATTCTGGAAAAGATTACCATCATCCAGAGAACTGATCAAAAATTGTTCGCATACGCTCATACAACCGGCAACATTGTATTTATCACCAAGATACATGACTTTGGAAATGTTTTCTGTGGTCACGGTCACTTGTTCAAAGTAGAAGAATTGCAGAAATTCTTTGAATTCGACGACTGATGTATCGACAATTTCAACTTCGACTTTTTCTCTCCATGTTTCATTGAACATTGTGTGGAATACATCACTGACGCTTTTCAATAGCAGTTTGTGTGCTGGGATACGTTCAAATACGCCATCGGCCACCTTAAAAACAAAATGAACATCGGCCAATTCACTTTTCAAATACAGCTCTTCACCAATTTTCGAGTAAACTGTACTCGCGCATTTGTTAACGGTTGACATATTTGGGTGCTTTAACCGTGTAATTAACTTCAATTGATAATGTTCTAAAAGTAATAAATTGTAAAAAATTGTGACGAAAAAGAAAATTTATAAATAATTTTTTGTGAAATATGCAAACTTTTTGATAAATTTAATGACATATGTGAAAAGTATGAATTGAAACACTCACGGATCTAGTGAAATGAAACTGAATGAGGAGGCGAACAGAATTTATTTAATGGTCTAGCTGTGAAGTTCGCAGAGAAACTATTTAAGATGAGCACAGTTTTTATAAATTAATAATAAATAATAATTTCCTTGAAAAAGAGGCTGATTCGTGCACTTTGACAACTGAAACTAAACTGGGTGTATTTTAACAACGCTCTCATCCAAATGAGTTGTACCATTTGACAGATCAAAGGTCATTTAACAAGCAAAGGTAAAAGGGAATTGGGCTCATTAGCGTCATCTGGCTGTGAATGCGAACACAGCGCTCGAAGGTTCAAAACTGAACCCACCCTCTCGAAAACTTCATTGTAATGTGTCAGCGCTAAATTTGAAACTAACAAAAAATAAAATGTCTTACATCCGTAAGATGAACTTTTCAGCACTGTGTTCCATGACATGCATTTATTACATATCTTTTGCTGTTAATTTGAATTCAGGAGAAAACTGAATCTGATAGTAGTTTTGCGAAATAATTTTTATAATGCTGATATATTTTGTTTTCATTAAACATATAATGAACTGAAGTTCAGGGTCAACTTGAATTTCACACTGATAAGACACGAACATGACTTATCAAGTCATATGTATATAATGTACGTAATACGCATCTGAGAAAGTATAGAAGCAAAAAAAAAACATCGTGTTATCAGTGCTAATCTTTACGCCCATGCGCTTTCGTGCGAGCTATATGACATAATCTATTTTTGGTGTTTTCGCCTTGTTGCAGCTACTCTGCAATAAATATTGTGCAGTGCTATTTTATCATAATTCGTTCTACGTTCTAGCGTTCTAGTTTAAATCTTGTTCTAGTTAGTAATTCCAAAAACAATAGGTGTATCTAAAAGTATGTCCAATCAGTTGATTAAAAACACAATCGAATGTATGTCACAATATTGAATTCCATATTTCAACAAGATCAAAGCCGGACAGCTATGGTAGGGTGCCGAAAGAAATAGTTCGTTACACAACACATGTGATATTTTCATTAGAGCAAAGCTCTCGGCATATTCGAATACACACATTTTATTTTATTCCACTGAAATTGTCTAATGTAAAAATTTCATATCAAAATTTGGATGAATATGTTTACGTTTTGCATGAGTTAAACTGTAAACAAGATTATACATTATTCTTACGTCTTACATAGAACCATTTATAAAATTCGTCCAGTCTTTATCGTCGTCGCTAGCCAAACGCAGAGCAAAATTATAATTTAATCGCTGAACATTTCAGTAGGCTACTATCTACATTTTATATTTAAATTTTTATTGTGTTTGGTGACATTTTAAAAGAAAAACATCGGAAGCAATTTGTTTTTCGCTGTGAAACTTGACTATTTAATTTTGTGATGGAAAGAAGAAAGGAGTGGAAAATATTATTGTTTTATACATTGGTGTTTGCACGTATGGTGCATTCATTAAACGCTTTACGTATGTATTTTAATAATTTAAACATAAATATTCATTATTAAAAGGTCTTTGGCAGACTATGTGGCATAATAATTAAAATAAAATTCAGTGGAGTTTTCTGTTTTGGTCACATTCAGTTCAGTTTTGGTCGCTCAATGCGTCACCATCAAGTGCATGGATTTGAATTGAAATTGAGAGCTAAAATGTTTGTGAGCAAAAAAGGGAAAACTTGACTTAATTTCGTTTCAATAATAATTTCTTTTTATTCCCGCTACGTTAAATCTATTTTTTAATTAAATTTGTTTTCTCGTTCGCCCAAAAGATGTATCGCCACCCAAAATTGTATTACAACCGCCGAACACCGAAATAATTCATCCAATTGGCGATAATTCGAATGGAAATGATAAGCCGCTTGAACTAAAATGCAAAGCAGAGTCAGAGATAGAGATAGCGGTAGAGAGAGCGACAGTAAACGAAGGAGATGAGATAAGGTGCAAAACAAAACTTTAAAAAATTATTCATTTATTACGTTGACTAAAGGTAATTAAATCCATTTTTTTTTTTGCTTTCAGTTTCAGTTGGATACATTCAAACGATTCAACAAATCACTTGAAATTTTCAAACAACGTTTTTAATATCAAATACCGTTGGACGAAAGATGGAAAACCTTTCGATTGGACTGCAAATAGTCGTGTGGAGCTTCGACTCGGCGAGGGAACATTAATCATAAACAATCCACACGAAGAAGATAACGGCCAATATCAATGCTTTTGCCAGAATGATTATGGTGTCGCCACATCGAATTCGGTGTTTGTGCGAGTATTTAAACTGAATCCGTCCACAGAAGTGAAACCAGAAACAGTGAATGTTACAGAAGGGCATCCAGCCCGTTTGGAATGCATAGCGCCAGCAAAGTGGCCAAAGCCATTCGTTTTCTGGGTGAAACTGAACGCTACCGAAGAAAATTTTATGACATTTGAAAAGATCAATACGATGGAGAAATTGGGCACCGACATATGGAGCGAAACTTTTACATTAGATCGTCATGGGAATTTATATTTTTTCAATGTTTCAACCGACGATGCATCTGAAGATGGTTTTCATTATGTGTGTGTGGCCACAATAGAGCCAGTGAAAGCATTTCAAATATTGAAACGAGTCCATTTGAACGTTATGAGCGAAAGTAGCCAAATGATTGAAAGCACATTTAATAAAAATGCATTGGTATACAAAAGCAATGAACACGAAGACGTTATGGTGGGTGAATTTGTTTCAATGTTTTGTATTTTTGACGGAAAGCCGCATCCAATAGTGATATGGAGAAAAGATGGAGATGTTAACTATATTGTGAGAAGATTTCTTTTTGGATATGCTTTACTTAATGATAAAATGTCACTTACCGACCGAAGAGCGCATCGAAACGATACAGGTTCATACGATTGTGATTCCTCCAGTTTAGAAAAACAGACGCTTTCATTCCATTTGACTGTTAATGTCCCACCTTTGTTCCTTGTTAAACCAAAGGAACAACATTTAAACGACGGCGATACTGCAAAATTTGAGTGCAAAGCAGACGGCGTTCCGAATGTTTCGATAAAATGGACTTATAATGGGAAACCGATCGAAGCAAATTCACATATAACCATTGAACCAAATGCGATTATTATAGAAAATGTTACGTGGAGTGATATCGGCAATTACGGTTGCAATGCCTCCAACTCAGTTGGATACATTTACGAAGATGTTTATTTGAATATTGCAAAGCCATCACCTGCTTTACTTACTCCAGAGAATACAACATCTTTTTTTGCGTAGACTAATGTTGAAACACACGTATTTGTTTTTGTCGCTTCTTAATCTTCAATAAATATTATTTCAATCTTTTTGTGTATTAAATTCGTGTTAAAAGATTCGCAAAAGATAGAAACATTTAAAAACAATCTAACAACATCTTTTTATGCGAAAAAATTCGAAATAAAAAATAATTCATTGAAAATTCGAAAGGTAATGTATTCTATGTTTTTGAAAGCTGATGGTTGGAGTGATGAAATAACCCTACTTCTCATTTTCCTCCCTCTCAGAGAAACAATCGCTGATTCAAAGTAATAGGAAAAGCAAAGACATACTCAAGTTTATTTGTTTGCTAATTATGACCAACCGTCCCCATCACAAAGCTTCGAATCGCGATCATGTGTGTTTGATCAAAACTCATGTATTTACAACAATAAAAATAAGCAAGCACTCGTTATGCATCAGTGAATATATACATAAGTGGTATAATGCACAAAAAAAATACATCGCCCGGAAGTACTTGGAAGTAATGCTTGATGTATCGATGCATAAACGAGTATAATTCAAAAACTATTTCGAAGCCCCAGAAGGATCCGCAGAAAAATTAACCAATCCAATCAAAATTATATGATTTGAATTTGAGCCATATCGACTTTCGTCGAATAATTCATGAAAATACACAGAAATTCGGTAGTTTGTTGTACTAGATCCACTTGACATAAGGTCGATCGAGTATTCTGTATATGTTTTTTCGAAAGGGCATCTGAAGAGCTACAAACTGACCAATTTTAATCAAAATCGTAGAATTTAAACTCGGGTTAGAAAGTACAAATTAAGTTGTTTTCAGATTCCCATACAAACTCTTAGGAAAAACTTCATTTGCAAGGAAAATAATTTTCTTGGACGAAATTTCCACAAAAGGAAAAATATATTATTTGTGGGTCCGAAAAAATTAGTTCTTGCTTGAGTTATGTCATAAACCTCCAAAAAAACGAAACGATTTTAAAGCTTGATATACATACATCAAGCAATATTTTACTGTTTTCGCATTTTCATAAATATTTTCAAGCTGTAGAACTATTGTAATATCTGCTGGTTTAAAATATTCGAATTTGCCAAGTTTTGTGAATATTTCGTCATTTCGTGTCCATTAACAAAACATCGCTGTAATTGTACGCTTATTGGAAAAAACTAGAAGATATTTGAGAATATAAAACAGTAATCAGGAGGAATAAATAAATCTAAAAACCGTGACCTAGCCCTAGTATTTAACACTTGACACTTGCACGACATCTTATAAGTGAAAATATTCAATTTTATCTTTTTTAAATTGCCCTTCACATACATTTTTCTAAAAAACTATTCTTTTATTTACTTACGTCCAACCACAAGTGCCGATACTAATGCTAAAAGCATGCAGATTTTATTAAAATTCCCCATTTTCTTTAAACTGTACTTCGACTGTTCAGCTTAAAGTCCTATAAGAAACTGATTAAAAAATAAATTGTAGACGAAATAAATAAATTATATAAAGTGTTTGTTTGTGGGCGATTTATAATGGTGTTTGATTGTATTTTAATGCACGAATTATATTTTTTGCTATCACTTGTTGGTAATCTTCGTTTATTTTTGTAACTGATGTGTTGCCTCTGGCCAATTTACTGTACTGTTGGTTATTGACAATATGAATTATTGTATTATGAATTTTGACTGTTTGCAATTGAATATGTGGAAACTTGAACGTGATATGTTGATCTCTTCATAATCTTTCGTAATTTTTTCCCATTTATTCTATTTCATTATCTTTTTTCATGATGTTCTATATATGTTATGTTTTTAAAAAACCCATTACGCAAATTCTGTAGAAGTCCATTGGGTTTTTACATTTTTATTTGATAGGATAGATCTTACGGATCGGCGCAAGAGCTGGATCTAAGCATGCGTACATGCCGCATGATACATTCATCATCGGCTTTTGCAACGAATGTGCTTTGAACAGTGAACAAAAATGAACAATAACGTCAGTGTTGTACTGTATAGCTTTCCTACTTATCAGCAGAATACTTACTGAAAAAAAGAGTGCGTCATGTTTCAAGGTCAAAGAGAGCATTGTCATAGGTTACATATTTACAGCTGTGTAAGCCCGGATAATCTCCCCCTCTTAAATCGTTCGAGCTTCCGTTTTGCTAAGGTTTTTTGAGAGTAAAATTCTTTTGATTTGCTAGGGTTTTTGATTGGCTGATTGACCCCCTTAAATTTTTTCCGTGCCCAGGTATGGCTGTGTTGGACAATAAACGAAAACATACTTATCTTGCAGAATGAATATTGTAAAATACGCTGTATATTGGCATTTGGCATATCATAAGTTTAATAACCTTCATTATTTAAATCGGTTTAATTATGATTATTTGCGAGCACACAGTCTAATCTGAATTGCACAAAAAATCGTTCTAAAAATGATTAAACTATTATTTATCACGAATTCAAAGCTCAAAAGGTATTCTCTTTTCACAAACAGTCATTTTTCGGGCATTTATTTCGGATAAGTCTAACTTTCAACATTCTTTCCAAATTTCTTCTTTTTTCAAGTGATTATTCATTTTCCAAAAGATATTGAACAACAAACATGCACTGATACTAATTTAATAATCACCAAATTCTAATTTCGGAGAACAGTAAAGTTTTTTAGCCAATTAAAAGACTATTGATGTAAAAAAACAATTCAAAATATGACATTACCATTCATCCGTATATATTTTGCATTATCAGCGGAGTAGAAATCAGAAAAAATCGGTATACATTTCTTATGGGAGATTCTTTTTGAGTGAGGAGCGACTTCATCACTATTCAGCGGTACATACAAACCTTCCATGGTGAAAAATGGCGAAAAATGATAGAACATCAAATTCTTCTATCTTCGATTCGTTATTTTTACGATTTTTCCATTGGAAAAGTGAGAAAAATTGCTCGGAATTTTTTTTTGTTTTTGGCCGTCTTTCTACTGCTGCATGCCAACAGCTGTAATGCGCATGACTCGTGTTGATCATATCGTCACGTGAAAAAATAGACTTCAGTGTAAATAACGATTTTTTTTATTTGATCGTTGAAATACAGATTGAATTCTCGTTGAAAAATCCAAAAATTATTCCACTCTGACTTTAACCGATTTCTGGATTCAAAATATACGCAAATTTTTTCTGTGAAGCAAAATGAAAAAAATCGCGTACCCATTTAATTGTGTGTACGAGTTTATAATTATCAACTATTGCCCTTGTCATAGCATTTATCTCTGTTAATGATGTAATTGCACTGTATTGAAAGTGAGTTTTAAATATTTATTTTCACTTTTTCATTCTTCGAATAACAAAAATGAGTAAAACGTAGACTTTATAAAAAACTTGTATTTGTTGTGGTTTTTTTTGCATCAACTGGTATTTCCTATTGATAACATTTCGACGCCCAAAATTTACACTGAACAACAAATATCGCTCAAAATTTAGTCAGCTCAACTCCTCGCAATCCCTAATCATTCCGTAAAGACAGATTTCGAATCTTTTGGTGTGCGGAAGAGTAAAACCGCATAATGAATGCATCTTACCTTTTCAGTTACTTACGTATATCGTATTTAATCGAAAATTCAATCATGTTTTGAAGAAACTTCGATTACACCCCGTTCAAGCTGCAAAATAACGCAAATGAAAATAAAATTGCCACCAAAATTGATTTCGATTAATTGTATGCGCTTTATTGAATAAACCAAACGAGTTTACATGAATAAAATCAATCTGTCTTGAACCTTGACTTGGTTGCTCTGTCAAATCGTTTCGATACAATTCAAAAGTGGCTCATTCCAAATTAAACGAAAACAAAAAATGTGATGTTTTATCTTATATTCTAGATTAATTTTCATTTAAACTAACATTATATCGAAATAATTATATTTATGAACTAATCGGGCTAAAAATCGTAATTCAAGTCTAAATTATTTACTTAATAAATTGTGTTATTATTTTGTTTTTATTACTGCTCAAATGCTAAATTCGACATCTGTGGATTGCGTTGAAATCACGTTCGTCTGAGGTGCGGCAGTGCTATCGTCAAAAGTATTTCAATTACACAGAACGCGTAAAAGAAGAATGAAAGCAAATGCTTTTGACTTGCCGACGATGTGACCGCTGACGCAGAAGATTCGCCTAGAAAATGAACGAAAAATGACCAAAATATTAATTTTTTACAAAAAAGAAAAACATTCCGCAACATGTCGAAGTGATATGTATTTTTTGAGCTCAAGAAAGAGTTCAATGTGCTGGCTGAAAGCAAAACGTGGTTGAACTTACTGCTGATGACATGCAAAGTGACTGTGGCTGGTGCGCTGTTCGATGGATTGCATGAATAATTACCATTATGGTACTTTTTGGTGGATTCGATGAGCAATGAACCAACCTTCAACGAGAGAGAGGGAAAGAGGAAGAGAAAATTAGCGTCGAATGAAAAATGAATGCATTAAACTTCCATAAGATCTATAAATTTTTTCATCAAATCAAGTGACGTCGAACATCCTGACACACACACAAAGACGTCTTACGTCTTTGTTAAAATCCAACCATAAAATGTGTTAAATGTGAGCTAACCGAATTTTGACGTTGAATATTATCGTCCAGTGGTGATTGTACGAGATCGTTGAGTTCGTATTTGATGCCATCGTTGTTGTTCCGTAAAATGTTTGATTTAATCAAGTGCATTTTGTAACCGAATTTGTTGTCGGCATGAATTGGATGCGAATCATGATACCACATGATGTACGTGGGTGGCTCAATAGCTCCATAAATGATGCACTGCAAATGAACTGTGCTGCCAGTTTTTACGTATCGATCGGAGTCACCAATGAGCTCGGTTCTGGGCACTGTGAAATAAAATGCAAAACACGTAGTTAAAATACAAGAATACAAATGTCTCATTCTCTTCTACCTCGTCTCGATGTAATTAAAGAGCTTATTGTTTTTCCACACTTACCAACCACATGCAAATAAGCGCGTGCACTGACTTTCGGCTCAGTAGACACTTGGCATTCGTATAGTCCTTCGTCTCTTGGTTGCACGTATTTAATTTGCAGCACCCATTGTTTTGACTCTTCTTTGAAATACGCTTGAAATCTCTCGTCCGCTATGAATGTAATCCTGTGCAAATGGAAACAGACAAAGAGATAAAAAAAATTGGCGAATTTTTGTAGCCAATCATCATTCTCATGTTCAGTTTAGTTTTCTGTGGGCAAAATTGTCCCACAGGAAACAAGCGAAAAATTAGTGGAAACAAAACTGGACAATCCGATTACTTGACTCATTCCAATCGCATAACAGCATTGCCATCAGCAATCGCTACATCTATTCTCTTGTTGTAATCATATTTACGACCATCGAAATGCACACACTCTCATTTGCCCGAGCAATAATCTAATTGAAGTCGACTTTATTACTATTATCCTATTCACAGGAATTGCACATTACTTGCTCGATGGCGATATTGAATCACAACGTGTTAACAGAATGGTATAGACAAAATGCGTGAGAAATTTCTCTCCCTCATCTATCGCAACATCAAACTAACCAGACATGTCTCATGGGAAATTTATACCGAGCATATTAACTGTATCGGGTTTAATTATATTTTTAGTTTCACTCATTCAATGTACTCGACTCGTTCATTGGCTCATCATCACAATTGTTCATATATACGATAAAAAAAAGTCGAACTAACCAGGGATTGATTTTGTTGAACACCACTCATCGCTATTATAAAGAGTAAAAATAGTGAATTGGTAATACTTTTTTTAAAATTGTCAATTTCTCCATAGGTCATCTTAATTTTGAATGTCGTTGCGAACAAATGTCAACTATGATCTCAAAAAGTTGGGAAAACAATCCGTTTTCGGAAAAAGTAGCAATTTTTTGCAAAAAACATTTTTTTTTGTATGAATCACTTGAGATGGACAAATTTTACCATTTGCCCGAATACAGATTTACCGGCATCAAAATTGTAATGTTACTAACCATTACATTAACATAAATGTTTGTAATAGCTACTACTATTAGTATTAGATATTACTGTAATGCTACAAATCTGACATTACAATTGTAATAGCATTACAGTAATGCTTCGTTACAATAACAATATGTTACCCGTATTGTTAAAAATCTAACATTAATATTGAGACTTTTCAACACAACTTTAAGATGAAAATATATTTACAATAGATGGCGTTTGTGTCTGCTCTAAGCTCATCATTGAAATTGATTGGGTTGATGAGCAATTTCAATGATGAGCTTAGAGCGGACACAGACGCCATCTATTGTAAATATATTTTCAACTTAAAGTTGTGTTGAAAAGTCTCAATATTAATGTTAGATTTTTGACATTAGCGGCAGCGTTGAGTAACACATTATTATTGTAACGAAGTATTGTCAGTAAGGTTATGAGAATAGCAATAGCTATTACTGGTAATGCTAAAATCTAACATTACAATTGTAATAGC